TCGGATCCCCTGATCACAAGCTTTAAGTCAGCCTGAAGTTCCTGTTCGCTGGTTAGTGTGGATGACTAACACTTACGATTGATTGGTTCCGGGAGGTTGTTTCCAAGTTGAATCCGGATTTTGGAGCCTTGCCTCATTCTGGAGTCGGTAATTATACAGCGCCGCGTGTAAAATAGGCACATTAAAGGTATAAACTCTTCAACACTGTCTAACTGACCAACCCACACCAAAGTTCTGGCAAATCCCACCGACTTGGTAGACACAGTGAGATGCAGATCGTCCTCTCAGAGCGAATTAGCCACACTGCTGATTGACCACTCGCGGTCGAATAGTTATGTTTATCTACTAGCCGAAAAGTCGCGGATTTTGAACCCAACGGAGTTTCGTGAAATGCACAGGGTTGGTGGTTCCCAAAACGGATGAAAGCGCTGTGCAAGGCTTCTGAGCTTTTCAGCATGAATTGGATTCACTGATGAGACAAAATCTTCATACTTTTATCTGAAGCTGGCAAGGAATTTTGATTTTTCCCGTATCAGTAAAACCCAGTCCAGTAAAGCAGTGCCTCGATCTCCCTAGATCCGGGATAAGTGAAGATTCCGAAAGAGTGCTACAACTGAAAGAGCTTTTTGCACTGCACAACGACGGCTACTGCAGGCGCGGAACGCTACTGGAACACGCATCAAAACGCTTTGAAGGGACGTCTTAAAACTTCACCTTTACTTTTTCACGTGTAGCTGTATATGCCTTCATGTGAGGACTGATAGGAATCGTAACACACGAATGAATGTATAGGTCCTGAAGTATCTGCACTGTTTGGAGAACCAGTTAAATTAATCAATTCAATTAACCATGTACCATAGGCACATCGGTTCCAAATGCTATAGTTTCGATCACGAGAACGGGTGTTGGACATACAGCCAAGTCTTGGAGGGGAGTCATGTTCACTTTCTTCGAAAATTCGATTGCTACGAATTGAAGGCGATAGCTTTGATGCATGAGCACCACTGGCTGCGCGATTAGGTCATTTCTGCCAATGTCATTAACAATTGGTGATTTGAGTCCCGGGGTCCCCATCCATGGAGGCGACAATTGCTGACCCAACTAAGGTTACCGGTTAGTATTTTCGTAACTCGTTGCCAGGTCATATACTGTCCACCTCTCGGTCGCTTCCACTCAGGACAGGGTTGGGACAGACGGTCTTCTGGTATGTGGAATACATCTCCCAACTAGCTTAACCTATGAGGCGTGAGTATTTCATCTACCGCGGGAGAGTTCCTTCTTACTAGGACCATCTGGCGTACCTGGGTGTTTCTAATCCGATGTCTTCACGAGAACTGACCAATGCTTCGGGGATACCGATGGCCAAAAACTGACATTTTCCGTACGTCCACGTTTCCGATCCATAAATCAGTATGGATCGCACCACCTTAGTGTTAACTCCTCACGTCGCGTCGGCGCCATAGGTACCAGAGGTCAGCAAAAACTGTCGTGGCCTTTCCGATTCGAGAAATAATCTCATCTGGGGCCAGTACACCGGAACCTATACAAATGCCCAGGTAAAAACCTCGATTGGCTAGCCTGCAAGCATAAGGTGTGGGTTTGATCCCACCCAGTCCTGTAGCAGCACTTCACACGTTGCAAATGTGAAGCGCATGCCAAACCGTGCGGCAGAGTTATTTAGGTAATTTAAAATCGTTTGTGTTTGGGATAGATCTGAACCAAGGAGAGCGACATCGCCTGCATACTCAATGTCTGTGAGGCGGGAAAGAAATTTTCAAGCCTCATGTCGATAACAACGCTGAAGATGAAAGGGGAAAGAGGAAAGTCCTGCATTACACTACTGCACATGGTGATCTCAGGCGAGAGCTTCCCGTATACTTGTATGAGCCCACAGGAGTTCGCATACAGTGCCCCCATGGGGGATTGAAATTTGGAAGAGAAACCTTTGACCGCCAGACACTGCCAAAGCTGTTGAGGATCGACAGTATCAAAAGCAGCTTTCAGGTCCACAAAAGCGTTCAACGTGAGACGTCTGAAGGAGTGGTGCTGTTCAAGGATTTGTCTCAGGGTAAAGATATGGCCGATGCACCCTCGACCAGGGCGAAACCCAGCTTGACTCTTACGAATCTGTTTCTCCCGATAATGCATCAACTGCGCAAAATAATGCCAGAGAGCACACTAGATGCCACGGATACCAGGCTGATACCACGATGGTTTTCACATGATGTTATCGCCCCCTTTTTGAAAACTGGGATGACAGTCGAGGAGGTCCATTCGGCTAGTATTCTGCTTTCGTTCCAAAGGTTCTGCAGTATGGCTGTCAGACTGTTCGCCAGGACCTCGCCACCTTCTTCGAAGAGCACGGAGTCTAGACCATCTGGGTCAGGTGCCTTGTCGCGCTTCAGGACTGAAACCTCAGGGTAGATTTCGGTTGCTGATGGTGGGTCAGTGTCCATATTTCATTCGAACCCACTTGGTCCTTCCAGTGGCTGTGTTGAAGGACACCAGTTGAACTGTTCTTCGAAGTGCTCAGCACACCGCTCAAGACAGTGGTTGAGGGAGTCAATCGCCCTTCCGTCTTTTTCGCATATTGTTTCAGACACCTGCCTTCTTTTGACCGGTTGATCTAATCAGTTGAAACAGGGCGCAGCGAAAGCCTTCTCCATCTCCTAGGTCTTTGAAATCTACCAGCGTTCCCTGCCATTCTTTAGGCTCCTGATTATCCGGTGTTTGAGGGATTTGCGTGCACCATCATATTCGCTAGCTACTGGTATGGCGGTTCTGGCAACAATAAGGTCTGCTGATCTCGACAATATCCAGTGCTTTTTGAGTCAAGTCAGATGGGCTGGACAAACAGTTCTGAAAACTGAGAGCATTGCTTCTTTCACTCGCCTTCATTCATCCTCCAAGCAATCTTCTTCGTCCACATGACTGTGCGTTTCGAGGAGCCAGACTAGCTCCATACTATTCAGCTACTGAAACTTTTCAAAGTTGATGAACGGAGCTGCTCTTTTTCGGCACGCGCAGTGCTAGCGGAAAGTGAGGTGTTAAGCGGCGCCGCACGATGGCGTGATCAGAGTCAAGTTGCGCACCCCGGAAGGAGTGACAATCCTTAACTGAGGCTCTCCATCGGCAACTGATAGCAACACGGCATAATTGAGTCCATGAATGTTTTGAGGTTAGCTGGCGGAAAGCGAAGTGCTAAGCGGGCCCGCACGATGGCGTGATCAGAGCCAAGTTGCGTACCCCCAGAAGAAACGACAATCCTTAACTGAGGCTCTCTATCGGTAAATGATGGCCACATAGTCCAACTGAGTCCACCACTGTCTTGTGGTAGGTGGACTCCAAGTAACTCGGTGTGTGCGTCTGTGTTGGAAGTTCGCAGTGGACAGGAACAGAAGATGATCTGCACACAACTGAAGCAGCCGCTCTCCATTATTCGTACCCTCAGCATCAACTCCAAATCGACCACCTAACTGTGTCCCTTCTGGACTTAGCCGGCCAACTTTGGCATTCAGATCGCCTGCCAAGATACAATATCCGTCCTTTCTGTCGATCGAAACAGTCGCGACAGACATCGATGAAAAATGTCCTTCTGTCTCAAAATTGCAATCTGTTGGGGCGTACGTTGATACGACAAACAAACACAGCTTACCGCATCGAACTGAATTGATCTCAGTTCAACCAGAGAATCGCATAGCGCAAAGACGACTGTTTACTGGGATCCAGTCCAGTAAGGCGCTTTCAGCGTTGAGGCTGAGTGCAAGTTCCACACCGCAGATGCCACGAGCCATTGCGTCAGGATCACCGGATACCCGAAGAGTGAAATGTGGACCTCATTGAATAATGCAACGTCGGTCACGGTCAATCGTTGGGCGATCAGTGTGCGGTCTTTGAGGCCAACCTTTTCTAACCCGTCCTTCCTCGGGGGGAGGCAGCATCGCTTCTTTCATAAGTATGGACATGCTGGTCGCCTAAAGGAAACGCCTTACTGCCTTCATACCCATATCGCAAAGAACAGTACGACTTTACCCCCGGACTGCCTCGTAATATGATTACTCTCAGTATGGAGACTCGCCGTTCTTCGTCGGGCTGCTTTCCGTTGGCCTTCCTGGCATGGTTGAACCTTTAGGAACTGAGTTCCAGCTAGTATAGCCCGCAGGATCATTGCAGCACAGAAGCCCGACCACCACGACAAGATGACAGCTTTGGGTCGACTCATGTATTATTCCTTGGTTGGAAAAACGAGCGGGGGCGCGGCGTTTTTAATCCCAAAAATGCGACTGATTAGAGCTTCACCCATAACAGTAAACCACCGAAGATTGTGAAACAGCTACAATGAGACAACCGGCTATTAGTATATTCCGTCGAATCGTTCATCAGTCAGTCAATTGCAACTCGAGAGAAACTATGAAGTAAGGCTATACTAACAAATTATATCTGGCTTCATTGAAATTGATGAAATTACCTACCATGCACAAAAGATTCACGGTCACTGAAACAAGGTTCCCTGCGGCAACAGAGTAAACTCCCGCCATGAGCGTGTAAGGAGCGAAGCATAAACGGTAATCGGGTCAGGACTGACCACAGCAACCAAAAGTCCAACTTTAGTGACAACCGAAGAGTGTGGCCACCAACTATTTCCAAAGCATTTCGTCAAGTTCAAGTTGAAACTATTCTCTTTGAAAACCAATCATAAAACCAGGCTGAAAAACTCGAACAACCAAAGAGTGACTACAAAGTAGTGGGGCAAGGAAAATACCTGACAACCACTAAGCCTACAGGGATGTTCAGAGTTGTCAGTAATTTTTTACTCAGGTAGTTACTAAGTTGAGGAACACCAAGTCAGTGAAACCAGTCTTCCAATGCCAACATATCAAAATTTCCGACTGCCACATCGCGACATCTACTGATATTCCGTTCGTGCGAATAAGAACACACCAACCAGTGAGTGATTTTGTATTGAAGTTTAATTAGTCGGTCTGTAGCAGTTTGCTCACCTGGATAAAAGTCTGTGCGCAGAATCAGCAGACGTTGGTTTGAATTCGTCCGGAGGACGGTCATAGACTACTGAAGCGAGAATGCCATTGGCTTTCAGATGCTTCTGTAGTGCACGTGATACACAAAGGTGCGCGAAATGGGACGTTGCAACATCACCAGTCTTGAGAAAACGCCCGGCAAAATCCAACTCCAACCACCGATATAACCTTCATGAAGCGGTGAAAATGACAATAATGAAAAAATACCTTGAAGAAACACGTTTACCTCCAGTGTTGAGTTCCAACAATGTGTAGCCATAATTATGCCAGTCAACTATTAGTTTCTTCCCAGACAGTCGGCAAAACAACCAAAGCAGTAAAAACGTAGGCACAGCAGGAGGGTTCTGTAGCAGAAGGACCTTACTTCGGCAGTAGCGTAGCAAGTGCCACAGGAGAATTACACTGGTGACTAGAAGCTTGCACAATTAGAAAGAAGACGCACAAATGCTTACTTTAAGAATCAATGCCAACATTGGAGGATACAAGAATTTACGAAAGTTTGGAGATGGTGGAATAGGTAATACTCGCAATGGTCGCTTCGCCATCGAAAAGTCGCCAGAAGGCGAAAATCCCGAAATTGTCACAGACCAGCCCTCGTCGGCCAAATAACGAGCGTGAGTAGCAATACGGGGTGACCGAGCTAGGTCACCCAAAACGAAAACATGCACTGTCCGTTTTCCGGTCATCGGATAACTAAATCAGAGATAACGAAGCGGACATCTAGTAGATGGTATGCAAACATTTGAAGATAGACACATGTAAAGAATCGCAATTAGATGTTGCCTAGATGTAACACACTACTCATGAGGATGCTGAAAATTCTTCGACAGCCCACAACCGGTTTCGCCCCTCTTAGGGCTCATCAATTAGGCACAGTTCCCAAGTCTTCGTCAACCTTATGTTTTCCTGGAACCCTAATTTGACAGATTTGGACAAATAGTGTTATTTGCACACGCGTTCAGTTTTGACAAGAGTTGAATGAATTCAACTCAATCTCGTTTGTGATGGTCCACTTCAAATGAATGTGCTGCACCAGGCCACCTCATGTCTCAGTTGGTAGTGTGTTATGTATTTCAAAAAAACGTATTGAAGTATCCCGAACATTGCAGCAAGTGAAACATGATGTGGTCTGGTACAACACATTCAGTTGAAGCAGACCACCACAAACGAGAAATTCAGCCGGATTCAGTTGTCTTTTCTCAAAACCAGATCCGTGTACAAATGGAAGTATCTGTCGAGATGTAAGGTATCTTATGGTCATGTAACGTGATGCCGGTTATTGTAGGCACTAGATAATGTCGGTCACGTCATCGGTTGGAAACTCCGATGTCAGGGGGACGAAATGGCTCGGTGGTTAGGGCGCGAATTTACCGACCGGAAGGTCTGTGGTTCAAACCCAACCTCTGCCTCTGGACTTCCTCCGTCTAGGCCAGGGCAACTAGGCAGTGTCCCAGCCCTCAGGATTCCTCATGGTGGCATGGCAGTTAGGCATAGGAACGGTGCCGAATGATTTTTTAGGGAATTTGAATAGACGGAATACCGAGTCCCCGACCTGGATCATAATCAATTCAATTGCGCAATCCAGGGACTAATCAGGGTCTGGATAGTTCAAGGCTCTTAACATGCGCTGATCCGACCATTACTGGTCCGCTCTATTGTCTTCGCAAAGCATATGTTTGATCAAGGGTAAAATACATGAATACTCCACTATAAACAGGTGGTATTGTACTTCGAAATCGGTCTGCTTCGTATTACAACAGGCAGCACATTAAGACCAGTGGGTAGGGTCAAACCCGAACCTTATGTACTTGGATGAGCCGAGTGAGATAGTATACGCATTTGTCCACCTGGTTAGCTGTATCACATCTACCGGTCTACCTAAAGACGGTAGCTCCACGCAGGCCGAGAATGTCAGCCTGCATCACCTATGGTGAGGTGGCTCAACTGGTTAGAGCGCGAATTTATTGACCGGAAGGTCCGTGGGTCGAACCCGACCTCTGCCTCTCGACTTCCCCTACCTAGGCTTGGGAAACTTTGCAGCATTCCAGCCTTCGTGTTTCTTTTGTGCGGCACAGCAACTAGGCACCGGAAGGGTGTTACGGCTGAACGATTTATTTTTGTTTTTTTATGGCGTAGACACGACAGCAGCTAATCAGTCAAGGGTTGAGTTTGCAAATGCTGCAGGTGCTCCATGCTATTGTATGAGTCAGGAGGCTGCAGGCTACAACCTGGAAACAAAATCTGTGTTTGACTATTGATGTCATCAGAGCGCTGTTCCAGTCTGCTCGGAACATCGCGACAGTAATGCTGAAACACGTCTCGCTTCGACTTCTAATCGAGGGTCACACCACCTGGCACGAAAAAATTAAATCATTAGACCATGTGACGAACCCATAAGGTAGCGAGTGCGCCAGTGTGATGAACATGACTGATACTCTATTCGTTGCTCTATTCATTATTCTCTTGTTTTAATATTCCATATGCTGTACATATTCGCCAATTCGAATGCATAGTGCTGGTTGTTACGCTTCGCTGAATTCTGGATTTCTAGTTTGTCGGGTTGTACCGATATACGTACGAAACTTAATTCTCACATTTTGGCGTCGCGATTGTAACGATTCATCATGCCTGCCGAAGTGGAACCATTAGATGTTAATTCAACTGCGCGTGACGTGGAGGATTATTTGGAACGATTCGACATATGGTGTCTCACAAAATCCGATATGGATGATAAGAAACTCACTGCATATTTCCTACATTTCGTTGGCAAAAATGCGTATACGTTGATCAAAAATTTAGTATATCCTGAATCTCTAATCGATATTTCTTACACTGCATTGAAGAAAAAAGTTCTTCAACACTTCAAATCGATTAACTTCGTAGCAGCCGAAAGAGCTAGGTTCAATATGTTAATCCGCTCTCATTCTCAGTCGGTCCGTGATTTCGTGTTACAGCTGCAGACACAGGCAGCCAAATGTGACNACAGAGTTAGGCGGAACTCCACCACTTAACACCCGCAGTTAGATGCTGCTACGGCCGAGAAGCCTATCGCGCAGATGATTGACCAAAAGTTCGGGACGCTCGCTGCTCCAGCATCCAGGCGAACTCTAATTGATCAGAAGCCTGAGCACACTAGCCAATCGTGACGCAGTATTCGCCGAAACCTGTTTGGCAAAGCCGCATCAAGTAAGCGCCCGAAATTCCGGAGGGCTGGCATGGCACACGTCCGAAACTTTTTCCCTAAGACAGAACGAAGATACCAAGTGGGCATGATATGTGAACATGCGGATGATGTATTTGCATCTCCGCAGTGGTACACGGAAGAGGAAATTGATGGGTAGTTTTCATGCGTTCATGGTCAGGCCTTATCACCCCCTTGTCGACCCCATAACCTATGGAAAGATAGGTTTTGGAGCAAGGAGTGTTCTGAGTGCAATTTCATACTTCTTTGTAGCTCTTAAAACGATTGGAGATTGAGATCCTCTTCCGTTTGGGTATTGTCAAAGATACACATTGTCTATGAAATCGTACGTATTTCAAGCTTTACGACCCAATGACATTGTTACTATACCTTTGAAAGCATGCTGCACCGTTTATAACACTGAAAGGTATGAGAAATAAATGGAAAAGGTCACCGCAGACCTCAATTGCCGTAAAGCGCCTGTCGGATACTCTGTAAAGTTTTGTGCCTGTCTTTTGTTTCCACTGTAACAATACGTATTTCGTGAATTGTATGGTCGTTTTTTGTTTCAGTACGAAGAACTACAAAAGCACGCACTCGTACAAAAATTCACGCAACACAAACGTGGTCACGTGCTTTGATTCTCTTCTGATTTCGCTGGCGAGTCTCGGTGCTAACTCCTGCTATCAAAACATTTCAGACCATCTTCGGAATCTGTTATATGTGGGAACTGTTGAGGAGACTCCTGGACAACTGCGACCGCTGGCCACTTTCCTCGGGACAAACACCGCATCATCATCATGACTATCTTGCGCTGTGGTTTCCTAAGTCACCTTCATTAAGTTTGGTCACAGTTTGAGCTCTTCGAGGAGGGTAAGCATTACTGCGACGTCCGCAGGTCAGAAATTCCTAATCTATAACTGAGGTGTCGGCTTCCTGACCCATGAAAACACTCAAACGAGGATGAGCACACAATGGTCATTTTGTCCCACTGGAGTCCTAATTAACGTTTGATCAACAAAGTGTCTTTCGTTAGTGATTATGAACTCAAGCCTGTGAGATATCGCTTGCATGCGACGACATGCTGAGTTCATGCGCCTGGTTGAGCGATTTCGGTGATTGCTGATAAAAATGTCCACTAGACTCGATACGCCTGAACCCCCTTAAGGCTTCTGGGGAGTTATATTCACAGACAAGCAACGGATGTGTGGAGTGATAGCCGAAAGAGAGTTGCTCTAAGGTGTGTATAGAAACTGGGCGTCTTCCGATATACTTGAGTGGCAGTGGAGGACAGTACTGGGGAGAATCGGCCCCACCAGTGGAAGACGATTTCCTCGTGCATCAACAAAACATGCAAGGGTCGGGCAGGGCAGTCGATGTAAACAGGAATGCGCGTAGGTTTATGGCATCTCCACCTGCCCTTCCGCGCTTCGAGTCCGCTCGAAAAATTGAATAGCTATCTGCCGATATCTCGGGTCAGTGAAAAATTGCCAATTTTGTTGGTCGGAAATACGACAGATAAGGTGAGTTCGACGAGGGCTCGATCAGCTTCTTAGGAGCTGCGTAGGATAAAAAGAGAGAGCAACTCGGAAGCTACGGCTACTCGACCAATGCCCCAATGC